ACTTACAGTACTAAGACCACTGGTACTAAACAACATAGTTATCCCTTTAGTCACAGAAGCCAAATACCTTGGAGTCATATTTGACCGAAGGCTAACGTGGAAAGAACAACTCAAAAAACTCACATAAAAAGTTATAATAGCTCTCGTAAGCTATAGAAGAATATGTGGGAAAAGCTGGGGTCTAAACCTCAAAATGACCATATGGTTATACACAAGGATAATAAGACCCATGATAACCTAAGGCGCAGTGGCATGTGTAACCAAAACTGCGCAGGCAAGTGCAATAGGCCAACTCATTAGCATTCAGCGGCTTGCCTGTCTAAGTGCTAATGGGGCCATGTGCACTACGCCGACTGCAGCAATGGAGGTATTATTAAATTTCACGCCACTGCACATCTTCATACAAGGAGAAACAAGGTCAGCTATTCACAGGCTAATGCAGAGACAAAACACAATAAGCCAACTACATATCGCCGACCACACAAGGCTATATCAGGAAGTAAAAAGGGTTTAATATTCTAGCTATGCCTACTGATAGAACCATAACCATATACAAATTTGAAAGAAATTTTCAAATTAAAATACCAGCCAGAGAATCCTGGAAATAGGAACCTCCCGTACAGGTTGAACTCGTCTGGTATACAAACGGTTCAGAAACCAAGGAAGGAGCCGGTGCTGGAATCAATGGACCCAAGTCGAAAACAACGTTTTCGCTAAGTTTAGCAAAATATGCAACAGTGTTCCAGGCTAAGCTAATAACCATATAACACTGTGCAAGAGAAATATTTAGTCAGCAAGTATCAGGCAAAACTATTGCCATATACTCTGATGGCCAAGCATTTTCAAAGGCAATTCTCTCACCAGAAATCAAATCACGACTGGTGAAAAACTGTCTAGAAAACCAGACAGAGCTAAGTAGTCAAAATAAGGTGACCCTAGTCTGGGTTTCAAGCCATGAGGGATATCAGGGCAACGAAAAGGCTGACGAATTAGCCCGAGAAGGCTCAGATAAGGCCATGACCGGCCCCTTCTGTGGAGTTGCTAAGGCATTGTGCAAGTCATCCATTAAACAAAAAGATTAAACAAAAAGAGTCTCAGGAATGGTGAAACAACTATCCAAGAGTAAGACAGGCCAAGTAGTTCATCAAGGAACCATCGGCCAAGTTCACGATAGACCTACTAGATTAAAAGCGTTAAACCGTTAGAATAACAGTAGGCCAAAAGGCACATGAGTGCCATCAATCCAGCAGAAGAAGCAACTTTGTGCAGGTTCTGTGAAGAAGAAGAGGAAACATCATTTCACGTCCTGTTCCAATGTGAAGGCCTGGCTGGAATGAGGTTTCTAACATTGGGCAAAGAAAAGCCAAATGCATGCAACTACATGCAGAAGCCACTGTCAAAGCTTCTAAGTCTAATAAAAAAGATCAGGCTAGACGACATACTATAAAACAAACGGAGTCGCACAATAGATCTGAATAGGTCGCGGTGGACAAAGACAAATAACGTCTAACTCCTAATCTAATCTAATCTACTCATCCATGACATACGCCACTGGTAAGGATTATTCGACTAATTTCATTTGCAGATAGGAGTATCTAAGAATATTAAAAACGTTTGCCGAATATAGTAAAATTAAACTGAGTAAAAACTTTACCGCCCTGTATTTCATAAACGAATAACATTATTTTAATCAAGTAAGTTTCGTTTAATCATCTTATTTTTATTCAGATAATCTTTAGTTTTTTTATGTCCCGCTCTTAAAAGAATTTTAGCTTCATCCAAGAATATACAATTATACAATTACTCACAGGATACAATAATATAAAAAATAAATATAAAAATAAAATATAAATACTCTTTAAAATATAAAATTAATAAAAAATACAATATGAAAGTATAAAAAGTGATAAATATAAATAAAAAAAAAAAATGTAAATACAATGTGCATTGTCAAATACACATGCGTGTCAGGATGGACGAGCGGGAGAAGGCAGACCAGCGCAGTGGACAGTACGCGAATAGACAGTGGCAATACCACAGCAACATTATAATTGAGAATACTTGATCGTGAATTAAACCATTGAAAAGCAGTTTAGACATTTTTATTAGGAATAATATATCCCTTAGGTTTATATCAGAAGTGGGATCACTACGCGTACCGTGGCTAATAGACTATAATTAGTAATTTCAGTAGAAGTTAGTGCTTGTGATAATGGAGGACGAAAATCCTGAACCTCGTGACAGTGCGTCAGCCGAACCCAATGGCGGTCGATGTTAAGGACAGCGTGAACAGACATATTTCAAAGCATGCTAAATTTCAGTGGCAGGAAACATTAATAAACTTTGTAGCAGCCCAAGAGTAATAAATCGCTGATTTAACTCAACATTCTAAGATGGCTACGTAGCCGTTTGCTAAGCCAACGCCCAGTGTTGCAGGACCATATTAATCTAACACGCAAGCGCCGACATTCGCGCCTGTACACAGTTTTCGACTTACCAGCTGTGACCCTGACGACAGCGCATATTCCATAAAAGAATGGCTTAAGTTACCCTAACCAAAATAAAAGACGAACTAAGCGTTAGAGATAACTTCATGGTCGCAATCTAAGAATCGCGGTTATTGTTGTGACTGGCGACTTCTTTCTCGAACATGATAAAACTTTTGTAAATACATTCGCTGACAAGGAAACACCAGCTGCTCATGAATACAAAGCGGCTACACTTCAAACCCATGTTTGTAACTTACTGTGCGATTATAAAAATCTAAAATGTTGTAGCATCATTAGATTTTATGATGCGTTGCCGGTTGCTGTGGAATCCAGTTCTAAGTTCAGACAATTCAAAAGCCCGTTTTGCCATTCACATACAAAATCCTAATTCCGAACGTGAACTCATACAATTACTCAACGAATTTGATGCAAGCAGTGTTGAGACCTCGAGAATTACGAAAAATGCAGAGATCCTTAGAAAACTAAGAAGTCAGTTTAAAGATAAACGAGAAGCCGATCGTTTCAAGCCAAACAAAACCTCAAATGTACCTTCCTTTAAATAAGGCCACCAGAGACACCAACAAAATCCATGTCGGAGAATATAACAGGCAAGTACATTTTTTTTTTTTTTTTTTTGTAATGGGATGGCATCAGACATGCAAGAGGCAAGTACATTTAACGCGGTTATTACTAATAAAAAAATACGACAGTATTAGTGCTTTAATAAAAAAAATGGGTCACGTCTAATCCAATTGTTAGTATAAACAAAGAAAGCCTAAGAAAACATTTGTGTTAAAAAAAAGTGACGCTATCTGAATTCGACACCGATAGCCATGTTATTATACTATGAACAAACTTAGTCATTAAAATACCTTATTGAGAGTGATGCTGACAGTTCAATAATTAAACATTCCGTAGTAAAAACATTAAAAAGAAAGATTAGGCCAGCTGATGCATGTGCTTTCGTTATGAATTGGATCTCAAGATGTTTATCGATCTTTGTGATTTTGCCGACTATTACGTTAGAGGTCGTTTCAAATAATGTGATTCCTGAAGATGTTGACTTGACATTATTATTGGAAGCAATGTCATATGCTGACCTTGTTTAGGTGTTGAGAAAAACGTTAACACGATTGAGTTACATCAAGACCTGCTCAACATTCCAAAAATGTTTACAATAAAAAATTGAACGATATGAAAATTAATCAATTAGAATTAAAACACACTTTAAAAATAAAATTGAAGAAACTTTTAACATTTTACAAGAATAAAACTCCTGACTGCCGAACCAAAGTCAACGATTCAATGAAACTAGGCATTGGGCCAGATTAAAAGCCAGGTGATATTGTGGCTATTGAAGATTCACAGTTCGCAGGTGGAAGCAAACTGGGGCCCAAATTAAAAGGGCCTTTACACTGTTCAAGAGGTATTATAACACATGAAATATATCAACTTCACAAAAAGCGACAGCGAATAACTGTAGCCCCTCAAGATCAGTTGCTATGGTCATCGAAATAATTATAAAAAAGGTGAGTGGAAATCCCACAACATTAAAAAAATTGTTTTTGTTAACTTGAAGTGGCAATTCCACCAGATGTTACAGTAAATAAATTATGATAATAAAGTAATACCAGTGTTTGGTGTTGTAGCACTAGTATTTAGTGTTAGGGTGGCAATCCCACCAAATTTTCCTGAATAAATTATGATAATAAAGTAACACCAGTGTTTGGTGTTGTAGCACTAGTGTTTAGTGTTAGGTTGGCAATCCCAACAAATTTTCCTGAATAAATTATGATAATAAAGAAACACTAGAGTTTAGTGTTGTAGCACTAGTGTTTAGTGTTAGGGTAGCAATCCCACCTTTAAAGAGTAATTAATCGTTTAGCGTTTAAAAAGAACATTAGTGATAATCGTCGTAATAGTAGTTCTGTTTTCGTATTTTGTAATTCCAGATATATGTGGCGTGAGGACGCCCCAATTACAGGATGGCCGTGTTAGCGGTGTTCCTCTGTTTCCCACCACACATTCTTGAAGGCCATACAAATGCGTGTCAGGATAGACGAGCAGGGGAAGGCAGACCAGCGCAGTGGGCAGTACGCGAATAGACAGTGGCAATACCACAGCAACATTGTAATTGAGAATACTTGATCATAAATTAAACCATTGAAAAGCAATTTAGACATTTTTATGAGGGATGATATATCCCTTATGTTTATATATATTTAAATTACACGAATATCACCAAACTGAATTATTTATATTTAAGTACTCAACTTCTTTTAATGCAGTTTTAGATGTGAAATTTTTGGTCTCTTAAAATCTGAAGTAGCTGAAATGAATAAAAAACTCATACTAATACTTTAAATTCTTAATCTCTCTTATTTTTAATAGGAAAAATAATTATTAAAAATGTTAAAACGAAATCATATCGTTGCGTCAGGATTATATTATCGCAATAAGGTTATCATGATTTAAAGAATAAATTATTTTTTATAAAATAATTTAAATGAACCCTCCTGAAATAGTACGTCTTTGTGGGTTGTACCATAGCCCTTTTCCCGTCTGGTGTATGATGCAGGAAAAACATTGAATGCAATTGTATCTTAGATAATATGTCTATGTTGCGTGAAAACTATGAAGACTAGCGTATCTGTCATTTCTTTGTTATTTCCAATATCTGTAGTCTACCCATGCTCTATATTAATTTAGTTTTGAAGAAGACCTTAAAGTAAGTCTTCCTGTGATAAAACTATTATTGAATAAATTTTCTATAAAAAAATGGAAATATTTCTTTTGCTTCCATGCATGCAATCGAAATTTTATTTTGTTATTTACCAGAAGCAAATGTCGACAGGGATGTGCATTAATGTCAACAAAGTAGTCAAAATTGTCAAAATGACTTATTGTTTATTCATTATCAAAACTGACATATCCCATTATGAACAAAAGTAATCTTCAAAATTGCAAGTAACATTTTCCAAAATGGTATTCAGAACATTTGTATCGCTTTTTCAGAAAACCATACAAAAAAATCAGCAGCTCGGTCCTTTCTCCATGACCGGTATCCCAGCCTTTCATCACGTGCCCATAGTCGTGGAACAATCTGGTAGAGGCGAAAGAGCCTTTGATATTTACTCAAGGCTACTAAAAGAGCGAATCATTTGCTTAATGGGACCCGTGAACGATATTTCCAGTTCTCTGGTAATTGCTCAATTGTTATTTTTGCAATCTGAATCTTCAACGAAACCCATTCATATGTATATTAATTCTCCAGGCGGAATTATAACTTCTGGATTGGGTATTTACGATACCATGCAGTATATCCTACCTCCGGTTGCTACTTGGTGCGTAGGACAAGCTTGCAGTATGGCTTCTTTATTACTGGCTGCAGGTATGAATTATACGTTCTTTCTTTTTATTTTTTTACCCTGTCATCAAGATATTTTCAAAATAATTTTATTCTTGCCAACTCGTGTTTATTATTTTTTATCCATTTACACCAAGTGCCCAATTCATCCTAATGTTTTATCTTCTAAAATATTTTCCTTAATATCATTTCTTTTCATTTTAATTCCTTATTTACACCTAGAACTTTTTAATCGTATTAAATTTCGGAAGATTTTTTCTTTTATTTTTATTATAAAAAGTAATCCCCAAAAAATGTATCTAAAGTAGGCCATGACCAATAAAGCCATTTCCGTAATATATAGGCAGGGCTTTGAAAACTGACACCATGATAACAATTTCTCCATAAATTATTTCAAACCATAGTCAGACTTTGAATACCGGCGGTAATTTCACAAAACTTGGCAACCGCGCAGCAAGCATCTCAGTAGCCACATGCGTTACGTTGATTTAGTTTTCGCTAAAAGTCCGTGCAAGTGACATTAATGGATATTGAATTATTTACGTTTGGGGTCAACCGCAGCATAGCTGTAACGCCTTGTTTAGAGAAGGAGCCGCGCGCGCGGCGATGCGATTACGTTGCGTCGAGCGACTTGTCGTCGGTAAAACAAAAAAGTACAAAATATAACTTTTGTACTCTTTGGTAAAACAACCTGGTGTTACGAAACGTAAACATTCAGAGTAAGAGCAACCTATGATGCAATATCTCAAATATAGAACTCTGACCAAGGCTTTTCTTTTTTTTAAATTGCGATGTTGCGTATGTTTTTAACACAAAAAGAAATTATTGTAAACCTTAGTAATATTAATGAGCCCAGAAATGATCTAAGTGACTTAAGTGAATCTTCTGAGGACTTTTCGGAGTCTACATAATTCAGTCGGAAATATAAATAAAGAATGAGGAGGAAATCGTGGTGTTCGAAATTGTGGAAGAGGTAGGCCGAACATAAAACTATTATTATTGCAAAAACCGGTATAAATTGACAAAAAAAGCTCGAAAATAATGTAAGAACGTCAGCTCATAATTTAGTTAAGTTCTTACCAGGACTCAAAGGGCCTACTCGAGTAAGAAATATATCTACGCCCTACGAGGCTTGGTAACTATTTTTCACCGAGGATATTCCAATCATCATTTTAAAACATGCAAATGAAAAGATAACCAAATTTTCATCCAACTACCTAGAAACCGCGTGTCTTTTGTTAATCATTTGAACTTAGCAGAGTTAAAAGCCTTTTTAGGACCAATCTACTTGAAAGGAATTTTCAAATCAGGGTGAGAAGATGCTGCCTAATTATTCTCACCTGATGGTACTGGAAGACTAGCTTTTTGGGCTACTATGTCCCAAAAGCGACTGTTATTTATTTGGAGTACAAAAGGATGACGCAGAAGTGCCAAAAGCGATGATTGCCACAAACTAGTAGCAGAATCAGAAATTTTCAATATGTTGGTGAATAATTATCAGAAAAATTACGCATGTTCTGAATATGCTACGTTTGATGAGGTGTTGGTTGCATTTAGAAGTAGGTTTGGTTCTATGGGTGTAGGTAGGTCTTTTATATTTAGAATGTATATAAAAACCAAACCTGTAAATTATGGCCTCAAAATTATGTGTTTGTGTGACTCCAAGGATCATTATTTTCCAAATGGCTTTGTATATACCGGAAGAAGTAATAGAAGAGAGCTCAGAAAACTTAACATTCCTACTTTTGATGTCCTAAATTTAGTGAAACCTATCGAAAATACTAATACGAATACGTAACAGGGAACAACTGGTTTATATCAATTAAGCTTATAAATGAGCTGAAATCTGGGGGCCTGACTTATGTAAGAATACTTAAAAAAAATAAGATAGAAGTACCACATTATCTTCTACCAAACCACCAATGAGAAGCAAATGCACTACTGTTTGGTTTCACAAAGAATCTCGCAATGGTATCTTATGTTCCTAAAAAAGTATAGATCAGTTATTCCACTATATTCTATGTATCATTCGGATGAGATACATTCCGAATCACAAAAGCTAGAAATAATTAAATTCTACAACACAACAAATGCGGATGTAGATAGCCTCGATCAGAAATGTGCAAGTAATTCCTGTGATCGCCGTACTAGAAGCTGGCTACTAGCTATCTTTTATGCTATGTTAAACATTGCAAGAATAAATTGGTGTTATATTCAAATCAGTAAAAATTGTAGGCTAGACATAATTGAATTTTTCCGAAGCCTACTTTAGAAACATTTGTTGTGGAACACTTCACATTTAAATAGTACTTAGGGTTCGTTTAATTTCCAGGAACAAAAGGAATGAGAAATTCTCTACCGAACTCGAGAATCATGATCCACCAACCTTCAGGCGGAGTAGTAGGTCAGGCTACTGACATTAAAATTCAAGCGGAAGAAATTTTGAAGCTAAAGAAGCAGATAAACCTGCTTTATCAAAAGCACACCGGTATGCCGCTGGAAATTGTAGAGACTAGCTTGGAAAGGGACCATTTCATGACACCCAATGAAGCTTTGGCATTTGGATTGATAGATAAGGTTTTGACAAGTAAGCCGCAAGACTTTGGTAAGAAGAAAGGTCATGAAGCTAAATCTCTGGTGGATCAATTTATAAAGATGCCGAAAAGTGATGTCGGTAAAGAGAAACGTAGAATTTCATCTCAAGCTATAGAACCAGACTTCATCGATTTGGAATTTAATAATAAGGATAAGACCTAAATATTACTCAATGTTACTAATTCATGAATGATTAGCAATATCATGTGTTGTAAATATTAGAATTCATTAAATAGTGATATGTATTAGAAATTCGTCAAACTATATATGTTGAGATAGCCAGAAAATTTATCAATATAAGAAAAAACAAATACATAAAAAATAGTATAAAAAAACAATTTAAAAAAGGGTAAAAATAAAAAAAGGAAATTATTATATTAAAAAGTTAAAAGAAATGTTATTAGTTATTTTCAAAGCTCCTCTGTTTACATTTAAAACCCGGTCATTGCAAAGAAACGTAGCGCGTAGCTATTTCGTAAATGAACCGACATGCGTTTCCTGGTGCGCTGTTGTCAGGCAGTGTCATTTATCCCTTTCATATTTAAATATAGTTTTTACCTATAACTCACTAATAGCAACAAGTTTTATTAATTAGAATAGTTTCGAGATATATTGCGACACATCAAGCGTCCCCGCCAATTCATTTTCATACCTAGTGCAGTGTTTCCAACTGCGACGCATTATGTGCAGAGATATCGCAATATTTCCCGAAACATTTCTAATAGTAAATCTCTAAATAAAATGACTTGTAACAAAACAAAAAACGTATAAAATGTGTACAAAGTAGATTAATCTATTTTAACTGCTTTCAGCAGACTTGATATTTTAGCAGCACCTATTTTTACAACATTAGGCAGGGCATTTTTGTAACTATCGATTTTACATACATACGCTTGCTAAATAACAACTTTACAAATACTTATGTGGCAAACACCATTATTATTCCTGCAAATAAATTAAAGGATTTTAAAAGCGGCAAACGTGTCACCACCGCAATTTAAAATAACTTTGTTTTGTTCATACTATACGTCAAAGATGTCACGTATAGTATTTTATCCATCGATAGTTTGCGCGTTGCGATCCAGTTAATTGTTGCATATTGGGTGTTTTTGTTATTATTTAGACTTTTTTGGAAAAATTTCGGCCTTATGTATTAACAACATGGTTCGCGAGTGCATTTTAAGCAAAAAACTGGAAAATGTGGGTGCTGAAGTATCTTTTCATAAGTAAGTAAGGTTAGGTGATGATGTATTGCATAGTTCAATGGTGTAGATTTAAAGATTTTTGCCGTAATATCACATGTATTATCTTACAGTTACAGTTTATCTTACAAAGACATTTTTATATTGTAAGTTCTTTAAATTTTGTGCTTAGCAAGGACAAACTTTTTTATAAACTCATATTACATGCCTCTTTCTTTGATTATTTTCATGAACTACCTTATTATTAATTAAAATGTATACTTACCTTTACATTAAAAGTTCTGAATACTCTGTTACAGCTCTGATTCCAGTATCAGTATTTTTGACAGTTCTAGTAAGAAACCAGAAGATAATTTATCTATGCCGCACAGATTTATGGATGATAAAATAAGTAAGTTAGTTTCGGCGGTAGTAAATGTGCCACCAATAATGTTATTCTACCCGCTACGAATTTAGGGTATTAAAAGTACACAGGTATTTGTGCCACCGGAGAAAACGTCATCTACCTGAGGGTATTAACAAAGATTGTCATTAAATTACCAGAAATATTACTCAGCACTAAAACTTTTATTAATTTGTTCTCAGCATATTATATGTATATGCGACGCACCGCACTTTTCCGATAAAAGCGAAAATGATCTTGCGAAACGAAGCTAGAAGGAATTGGCAACAAAAAATGTAATTAATTTAATGAAATAATTTGCAACTATTGGGCTAGTTAAATTAAAACAAAATAGAAGTAGTGATGCATTTTCCAATTAAGTCCACTGAGGAGGAAAACGTGTGGAAACCCAAAAGTCATAGCCGTGTAACAGTGAGTAAGTTGACTGGTTTTTGAGAGGGGTTAAATAAGTTTTCCTCAGGAGTAGAAATAATTTATTTTTCAGTAATTATTCAGTTATATCTCAGTCAAGTCGTTTTTAGTATAGTTTATCATAATGGATGTTAAAATTGTCAAAAGTATGTACGGAAATGAGCTTTTGATGCTTAATAATTTTAAGTTTAAAAAAAAAAAAACGTTAAAAAGTGGAGAAACATTTTGGCATTGTATAAAACGCAAAGAAAAGTGTTCTGCAAAAGTGTTTACTGTACTAGGACCAGATTATGTAATTACCAGAACACAAAATGATCACAACCATGAAGCTGATATACAAAAAGTAAACCGGCAAATTGTATCCACGAGCTGCAAAAGGAAAGCTGTTGAAGACATAACAGAAAAACCTTCCAAACTTATACGACTTCCAGTTGGAAGTCGATTTACCAACCACATTCACAGTTAAAGACAAAGAGTATGTGAGAAAAAATGTTTACAACTGCAGACGAAAAATACTTCCAGGACCGTTACCAAAGAATATAGATGAAGTAGTTCGGGTTCTTGAAAATTATAAACCCAAAACCTGTACAGGTGAAGACTTTTTGTTTATAAATAATGTAGGAGAACACATTTTAGTGTGAAAAAAAATATTCGACAAATGTGTGAAATTTCTCAAGTGTATATGGATGGCACCTTTACCTACTGTACAAAATTTTTTCTGCAACTTTTCACCATTTACGGGTTTAAAAATATACATTATATACCTTACATGTTTTGTTTATTAATAAATAAACAGACACAAACTTATGAAAAATTATTTAGTCTCTTGAAGTCTAAAATTTTAAATGATTTTAATTTAAATTTTTATCCAAATGAAGTGTTTGTAGATTTTGAGAAGGCCATACACAATGCACTACAAAGTATTTGGCTTGAGTCAAAAATTAATGGGTGCAGATTTCATCTTCACCAAGCATGGTACAGAAAAATTAAAAGTTTGGGACTAACAGAGCATTATAAGGACAAGAATTCAGACGTAGGAAAATGGTTGAAATACACTTTTGGACTAACCTATTTAAACCCAGACGATGTTGGAGATTGTTTTGTATTCGATCTATGTTCAATACGACCAGAAAATGAACAACTAGTGAAGTATTGTGATTACCTTGTCAATTCATATGTTGAAGAAGGCTCAGATTTTCCACCACATTTATGGGCCCAGTGTAATCCTTCAGTAACAAGAACAACAAATGCGTGCGAGTCATTTCACTCCAAATTTAATGAATCATTCTATACTACTCACCCATCAATATACATATTTGTGGAAAAATTAAGAGAATTTCAAACTAATACTTATGTCAAAATTCAAAGTCTACAATTTGTTAAACTGTTCAAATTTTAATCCCAAAATTGAATTCGTAAACTTGTTTAAAATAAATCCTGATTTATTTATCTTGTTTTTATTTTATTTCATTTAACATCTTTATATGTAATAAATATATTATTCTTGCAAAAAAATAGTGTTTTTAAGCTTTTTTAAAGTTTAAACCATTATAAAGTATCTCTATCGGTTAGTATTTCATTATTTTTTTATTGTTATGATTTTATCTTTAATAAGATACGCCACTGGTATCAACCACAGACCTTTTATATATTATTTATAGACAGTACACTCAATGTATAATTTTCGTAGCTGATTTCAGCGCCCTCACAATGGTGGGGGTTTAAACTAAACGATGGCGGCAATTTTTGAATGTCTGAATAATTTTTTGAGAGCACGCTTTGAACGTGGTTATTATGTGTGCCATTAAAGTTAAGATTTGATTACAATAAGCAAACAAATCGTAACTATAATGTTTTGGTGCTACATTTGTTTATGAAATGAAACCATTTATTATATTTATAACGATTTATTTATAAAATGTAAATTTCGGGAATTATTTTAACTAAAACTAAAAATAAGGCAATAATAATAGGTACATGCAAAATATTAAGATAACATAAAAAAGATCCAAGTGTTTTAATTTTTTTAGTTTTATCTGGTTTTTCTTATTTCTTATAGGTATCTTGTGTTAGCAAGAAGACGTATTTTACCATTAAAATAATGTAACAACCTGGAACCGGGAACACTTACACTTTACAATCATGACTGAAAGTTTATCCATTATCTCAAATGTAATGTGGTCATATTAATCCTTTCTCCATGTGGTCATTGATCAATGTAAGCAGAAACTAATCGCGACACTGCCTATTAAATAAACTTTATGCTGTGTTATTAATTTTGTGCTTTATTTTCATTTCACTATTGACTTTCTGTTTTATTTTCATTTTATTATTTAACAATCAGTTCAAAAACAAACAAATCACAACATTCATAAAAATAATAAAGAAATAAGAAACATTTGTGGTTATGTAGGTATCAAGTATATAAAATAGGCAGTGTTGTCACGGTCAAATGGTGATAATTCTCACCACTTACCCCGAACGCCTGAAGTCACCAATAAATGCAATAGTGACGATGAAAATATTTTAAAACATGACTTTTCAGCAATAGTACATACTACTAAATGAAAAACGGCAAAAACGCTATAATCTTGCATTAATAAACTATAAATCAATTCATAAAAGTTCATTAGTTAATTTAGAATACCCAAAAGTTGGGTAAAATTATTGCTATTGGCAACGCTGCACAAGCGTGTCCTATAAACGGTGACGGTGGCGACCTCACGACGGCGGGGGTATGAAACTTAACACGCATTGACCTTGACGGTAAGAGTGGATACACTGTGGGTATCAACAGACTTTGAGTTGCGTACAACAGCAGCGTTGCCAGACGAGATTTTCGATTACAGTCTGTTTTCTTTCGATCCGCATAAAATATATTCTTTTTTTTCCGATGATTGGGACCAAACAAAACATACTTTATGAATGAAATCCATCATCTGTTGTTTCTTTTATCTAAGGTTATTTTAACTAGCTCTAATGGCTACAAATTGCAATTCAGATACATATATTAGTTCTTTTCTTCTGAGAAAAAGTTATCTGCTCAAAATTATTATTTACTAATTGCAAATCAGGTAGGTACCAGACGGCTTTAATCAGGTAGTTTAAAAGGATCATTAAGAGTGTTGTGATTAATGACAAGAAAGTTAAAGTGTGTGTTTAAATATAAAATGAGTAGAATATAAGGGTAATAATCCTTCAAAACTTTTATTGCAAATCTAGTTTCTATTTAATTTTCCTGGAACTGGAATGTAACTATAAACTCTTTAAATACTTGTTTATGAATATTTGTGACATAAATATTACACCAACGTGTTTTTGATTAGAAAGAATATTGTATATCTCTTAAAGGGGATCACAATATAAATAATAGTGGCAA